GGGTCAGGAACCTTGCCTGGGTCGGGGGAGAGCGGTTCCCCTCCTGGCTGCAGATTCAGACCCAGTCAGCTCTGCCTGTGGTTTGAAACGGCACCCGCTCCTAAGTCCGAAGTCTAGCCTGAGAGACTGGAGGGGAGGGAGCAGCACCACGAGGCCGCCTCCGAAATCACTCCGTGAGCCGCAGGAGCGTTCGGCCGCTCCAGTTTCAAGGCCCTTCCGGGCCCGCGCCCCGCCCTACGGAGCCACCGGATTTCGGGGAGGGGGAGAGGGAGGGCTGCCCAATCTCTTCACCAGGCTGACTTGACAACAATTACGAAAGTTTTTAATTAGCTTCTTGTTATCCTTCATTTTATTAATTTCCAGAATCCTCAGGCCATGAATTATTCAAAGGGCAAGCCAACCCGAGCGGGGCGGCGGCGCGCCCCCGCCGCACGTGCCCGGTCCGGCTCGAGCAGAGCCGCTTGCCCGCTGCCCCCGGAGGGCGTGAGGCGGCCCGGCCCCTCCCGCCGCGGTGGCGCAAAGGTTTGCTCAAATATTAAATAACGTAATTATTGCGACAAGGCTTATCTCGCAGGTGGGAAAGAGGCCCCCCGTGAGATTTAGAATTCGGCTGCTATTTTTTAAAAATCAATTAAGCTTGCGTTCTCCTCTGGAACCGCTCGCGAGGACTGGGGCTAAGACTGCAGCGGCAGTAACACCCATCAGCAAAACCACACCAGAGAATAACTGTGGTCGTCACCTTTATCACCTCGCCGGCCACCAAGGCCATTCGAATGGGGTGGGGAACGCTGCTTTTAGCCAGGTCAGAAGTCACAATTCCTACCTCACGGATTCGACTATGAAAGCCCATCCAAGTGAAAGATGGGGTAGGGATTCTTCAGGCTAGGTTGGCGGGAAGACCGGGGAGACGGGGCAAGGGGCTGAGGGCGGGAGCTGGCCAGGTGAGTCCTCGGCCCAGGGCGCCCTGTCCTCTCTTGGCGCGGCCAAGTGTAGGAACCGGACCGTAGTCATCTTAATACCACAAGAAATTAAAAGTCGATACAATCACGGCAGTGGGTGCCTACGGTTTATTTATGAGGGTGTAATCGAAGTTGAGAGCAATTTCAGAACACGCATTAAACAAAAATCTATTAAGAAGTTAGTTGAAGCGTCTTGAGGACATCATTTCCTAGACCTACAGAAGTAGCGGGACCCGGAGCTAGGACTGGGGAAAAGAGAAAATTTAAAACGAATGGGTGGCTTAAACGTGGTAGATGCATTTTATGCTTACTTTTCTTTTGCCTTTCCTACTCCACAACCGCCTGCATTTCCTGAGAAGCTGAAATGCAAACAGAGCACAATTTTCCCACTCCAACTTATTTTTAGATTATTTAAAAGAACCGGAGCCACGCTATTTCCACCCACTGACTAGTGCCAGAATTCACTTGAAGTTCCGTTCTTCAGAACCAGAAAACTTTGAAAGGTTAACTACCACTGAGTAGCAAGCCTTAGCACTCTCTCCAGGAGGATGTTTGTTAACTTGTTTATTTGTTTGTTCGTGAATTGACAAAGGTATCTTAGAATAGTCTTAATATTCCTTCAGGCAGTATACAGATTCAGTCACTAGATAGCAAGGCATTTCCTGTTTTGCACAGCTTCCTACTACGTAAAATAGGAAACTCTGCAAATCATGTATTTTCATAATATGTTTTATTAACATAATATTGTCTTCTCTTTATTTGGTAAGGATTTTACTTAATACAAAACAAATGCTTAGGTTCTTATTACATACATTAGTCATCATTATATAATACAAATATATTTGCCTGCAACATTTCCGTTCGGGGCAGATTTTTTTTAAAAAACAGCCTTTGTAAATCTGTTTATTTGTTCATTCCTGGTTCTCCAACAATGAAATCCGGTCATACTTTTCTATAAAATAACGTGGGTATTTTTTTAAACAAATGTATTTTATTTAAAACTTTGATGACATTTCAAGTTAATAACAACAGAAACAAATCAATTTTGATGGAAGAGATCTATTTTAAAAATACCTCTAGTGATTTTTTTAAACATTAACAATTGTTTAAAATCACAGCTTTTTAAATGTACTCTTCTTTTTTGAACATCAAGCATTTTGTTTCACAGATTTGCCGGTGAAATTAAAAAGATTTGGCTAAAGTAGGATGACTTCAGAAGATATAATCCCAGCTATTAAGAAACTTTTTACATTTGGCATCTGATCTAGTCCCGGGTCACCAACAGAGAATCTCTGGTCCCTCTGGAGCAGTAGGTGGCACACTAAAGTTCCAAATGAACAGAGGCATTTGACACCATGGCTGGACAGATCAGTGGATGGTTTTTGTTAACCTCCAAATAAAAGTTATTTAGTTACAACATTTTCTTAGAAACGTTTTTAGGCTAGAACAACACATACAAACCTCCAAATGCCTCTGCACAGAACCTTGATTTAAATATTTTGAGAGTGCGTGGTTATTTATTACCTTCCACCACTCTGAAGCGAGGGCTGTGCTTGAAGGATTTCTGCAGTTAAAAAAAAAAAAGAAAACTTTGATAAACACAGGCAACTAATAGAGAATTCATTTTATTCAGAGCACCGCTTTCACATGAGTTATCTGAAAGTGAATTCTGATTCAGCAGAAAAATACATCATTCTCATCCTTTCCCCTCTTTTCACCTCCCTTTCAACGTCCTTCCCTTCCCTGTATTTTTGGTTGAATTGAGTCTCATTTGTTGACCGGCTCTCCCAGGACTTTGGCCCAGTATAAACACAAAAATGCACCCAAACCATAAAACTGCTCTTCTTTCAGTTATATTTTATTTGTAAGTGTACTGGGACATATCCCCCTGTTGTATTTTGGCGCACAGAAGTGGTTCTGATAGAAGTGGGGAGGAGGGGAAGATAATAGAGCAAAGACATAACCAAGGAAAAAGCTCAGCAGACATACATGGACAGGTAGATCAATCCGTGAGGCATTTCAGGATTAACACTGGCAGTTCGTAACCACTGTGTGAGTGTGTGCATTAAAGAAAATATTTACAGTAATCTTCCTTTTTTCCTTTTCCTCTAAATACAAGAATATGACAAGAATGTTGTGTTTTCGGTGAAAACAGGCAGTAGACTGTGAAATCACACTATCCACAAAACGGTCTATCAGAAAGCTAGCCCAGTTTAGTGCTCAGTTTCAAATGCATAGAATGTTTGCGCTGCAAACAATGATATACAATGTAATTAAATAAATAATGCCTAACCAGAGTGAGACCTAGTTGTGTTTCTTTCTGCACCTTTCAGATCATGCATGATTTCAGTCTTGTTAAATGGCAGGTTTTTTCTTTTCTCATCTGTTCTGTTTTCAATTTTTTAGTTCTTATTAAAGGATGGTAATAAACCATCTCCACCCGAGATCAAAAGAGTGTCTTGTGCACCAAGCAGGCATTTTACCTAACCACCTCCAATTTTTTTTCTTTTTTTAATCCATCAGTAGTTTCATAAAGTACCTTGATTATTACTATGAGATGCTATACATGATTTTCTATTTGGGAGACTGATAGTGCAAATTAAAGTTCTTGCTACCCAACATTTATCCCCAGCAATAAATTACTTTTGGATAATAATAATAATAATTTAATAATAATAATAATGAAACAGTTGTTCTGCTTCCCCCCGCTCCCAACATGCAGACCCTTTTGAAATAAATGGAGGGCTTTAAACCTGTCTTCCTCTCATCTGGGATTTAGTTGATTTTCTCACAGCCAAGTCCTGCTCCAAGTGAAAGCAGAAACTTCTCAATATTTCAATGATTTCATGTTCTCCAAGAGAGAAGAAAGGGGACCTAGAAGAGCAAGATGGGTCCTGTTTTGTGGAGAAAATGGGACAGCGTATCTCTCCTACTGTCTGCCACCCCATCAATCTATTTGAATCAACAGGGGAAAAAAAAGTAGAGAGTTTAAAATAAGCCACTCAGAAAAATAAATGAAAGGGCAAGCAAGTTCTCTGAGTGGGGGGGGGGGGGAGCTTAGTTTGAAATGGTCTGTTTTCTAGATCTTAGATATGAGAGCAAAAATGGAAAGAGTAAAAACCTGGTTAAAATTGTTCTATTTTCCTAGAATAAAATATTTATTTCGGAGCCTCTAAATTCTGCTTTTTAGTCAGCCCAAAGACTATGCCTCTCTCTCCCTAAAGACCCCCATCTGACCTATCAGGCCACAGGAGTATAGGCTGGGTCACTGGAAAACTTGGACTTCACCTAAACAAGTAGCCACCCGCCGCCCCTTTCAGCTGTGCCCCTACTCACTTTCTGGAAATGGAGAGCAGCCATCGGAGTCTCATTGGAAAAGAGAAAATAAATCAAAGAGGACTTGGATGGGGTGTAGGTAAGACTTAGAGGAAAGATTAAATTAAACACACAAACAGAACAACTAGCTTTGCTACCCAGAATTTCACCTTCCGGTTCGTCTGGTGTTCGGTCTTTGACTCAGTTCCTGTGTGTAGGGCTGGGCGATAGTAATAACGTGGTGCTCTTTTTTCTCTTCCTTGCGGGGGAGGGGGGGAGGAGGGGGGAATGAAGCTGCAGAACACGACTCTCCGGAGTTAAATTTCTAAAGCATTTTTTTCTTTGCTTTTGTTCCGTTTTGTTTTCTTTTGTCTTTATAGTCTAGTTTTTGGTGCTTGGTAGGTTTTTTTGTACATAGCTCCTTGGTCCCCAGGAGATTTTGGTAAGTGTCTCTGGTCAAAAACAGTCAATTTCCCTACCCTTCCCGAGTCTCCCCCCACCCTCACCCTCAGAGCCATCCTGCCCCTCACAACCCCTCCTCCACTCTCCGCTTTCCTTCCCCCGACTCCCCCACTCTCACAAATGCTCCCTCTTCTTCCCCTGCCCTTCTCTCTGGTGTCCACACCCTGCACCCCAGTCCTCTAGGCTGGGGAGAGTAAGGGCAGGGAGAGCAGAGAGGAGGTGGAGGCGAGCGCTCGAGGAGGGGCTCCCCAAATGCAAGCAGGACAACGGACACTCTAAATCCGGGGGGAAACAGGCCCGGGGAAAGCCCCTCGAAATGCCCATTCGGCTCCCCACTCTGCCCCGCCCGGTACCTCCCATCCCCCTCAGTAAGTGGCGGAGAATTTCATCCGCTTCTGCTTCTGTCTCTGGTTGCAAAACCACACCCGCACCACGTTCTTTTTGAGGTCCAGTTTCTCGGCGATGGCGGCGATCTTCTCGGACGAGGGCCGGGGCTGTACGGCGAAGTAGGCCTCGAGCGAGCGCTTCTCGGGCGCGGCGATGGAAGTCCGCTTGCGCTTCTTCTCGCCACCGTTGAAGAGCTCGGGCTTGTTCATTTTCTCGCGCTGCGCGCCCTCGGCTTCCTCCAGCCACGCCTGCAGGATGGGCTTGAGCGCGATCATGTTGTTGTGCGAGAGCGTGAGCGACTCGAACCTGCAGATGGTGCTCTGGCTGAGCGAGCCCACGCCCGGGATCTTGAGGTTGGCCAGCGCCGAGCCCACGTCGGCCTGCGTCACACCCAGCTTGATGCGCCGCTGCTTGAAGCGCTCGGCGAACGCCTCGAGCTCGCGCGGGTCCGTGTCCGAGTCGCAGATGGACGCCAGGCCCGCCGCGCCCACCACGGCCGCCGCCGCCGACGCCGCCGCCACCTGCCCGGCCGCCGCCGCCGCCGCCGCCGCCGCTGCCGCGCCGTGGTGCGCCGCCGCCGCCACCAGCCCGGGGTGCGGCAGCCCCGACGGCATGTTCATGGCGGCCGCCGCCGCCGGGTGCGACAGGTGGCCCAGGCCGTGCATGTGCGGATGCGGATGCGCCGAGCCGCCCAGCAGCCCGCCGCCCGGGCCCCCGCCGCCGCCCCCCGGGCCGCCGCCGCCCGGGCCGCCGCCGCCCCCGGGGCCGCCACCGCGGGCCGCCGCCGCCCCCCGGGCCGCCTCCGCCCCCCGGGCCGTCGTGGGCGCCGCCGCCGCCCGCCGCGCCCGCGCCGCCCGCTCCGGCCATGAGCGCGAGCGAGGGCGACGAGATGTGGTCCAGCAGGTCACCGGGCTCGAGCGCCTGGTGGTGATGGTGGTGGTGGTGGTGATGCGCCAGCGGCACGGTGGACGTGGACGTGCATGGCACGCTGTTCATCGTGTGGTACGTGGCGTCCGGCTTGAACGGGTGGCTCTTGCCCTGGGACACGGCGATGTCCACCGCCGCCAGCGCCTCGGCCCGCGCCAGCAGCGTTTCGTCTAGGCTGGCGAAGAGGTTGCTCTGTAGCTGCAGGCGACACAAACCAAACCAAAAAAAAAAAAAACAACCACAAAACCAAAAAAAGCAAAAACACAGAACAACCACACACAAGCCGGAAAGTACAAGCAAAAGGCAAACACAAAGCAAGCAAAATAATAACGACGAGGGTGGGGATAGTGGAGACCGGGAAAGACAGAAGAGGGACACATTGGGGACGAGACAGGGGGTCAGATGAGAAGGGACGGGAGTGTGAGGGGCAGATGCGGAGGAGAGGGGGACACAGGAACACATTCCGGGGACGGGCGTGGGAGACGGAAAAGGAGGGGGAAAGAAGAAGTGCAGATGTAACTCGCAGCTGGGGACCCGTGTCACGCACCCGAACACGCACAGAAAACGCCTTTCCAAGGCATGAAATTAACAGGAAAGAGTGGAGGGAAGTCGAGACTCATGGCCCCAGCGCTCCCCACTCCGATCGCCGGCGCCCGACACGGAGGCAGAGGCGACGGGAACACGACGCTAAGCTCCACTGTACGAAGCCTGCCTCGCAGCGGGACTCTTCTAAAACTCCCTGCCCGCAAATCCCCGCACCGGGACCTGTACATACATCAGCACCCGACATGCAGCGTGTCGGAGACGGGGAGGGGCGGGCGCGCGGGCCGGGTCCGCGTGCATGGGGCGCTTACCGGCGGCGTGGGCAGGCAGGCCCGCCGGATGGCCTCGGAGCTGGAGTGCAGCGACGGGTACTTGTGCTCAGGGAGGGTGGGATGCATGGCAAAGTGAGGCTGCTTGCTGTTCATGGACATCATCTTGATGGCTTGGCATGTAAATCCACAAACACTCCGAAAGTCCGCGGGAAAGTGCGCACGCCGGCTCCCCCGGCCTCCCTTCGGAGGCTGCAGCCGCGGCGGCTGGCGGCGCGGAGGCGGCGGACGCGCCGGGGGCCGCTGCTGCTTCTTCTGCCGCCGCTGCCGCCCGGCGCTGCTTTGACCGCGCAGACCGCCGCGCACCGGCCTCGCGATCCCACTTCTCCGAGAGCTCTAGCCCCGTGCGCCGACGGGATGCACTCCTCTTACACCTGAGCCCCAATTCTCGCGGCCGGTCCGGGGAGCTCTCGCGAGAGTTCGCGGGCCCACCGCGCTGACAGGCATCAGCTGTCTCCGTCTATCTGACGCGCGCTCTCCCTCTCGGCGGCGCCGTGCGTCTGCGCGCGCGCGCGCGCTCTCCCGGCCGCGACCCGCGCGTGGGAGCCGCTCTTATAGTGACCACCAGCAAGGACAGCGCAGGTGATGCACCTGTAGCTACCCGGACATGCGCACTGCACTTCTCACCTTTCCCATCGCGGGTCTGGAAAGATCAAAAGGGCCAGCTATTGTTTGAGGGTAGGCATCTTTTAGGGGGAGAAAGACAAGATGCTTGCCAGCCCCTGGGTGGTTTCCCTCCCTCCTCCACACCCTCACCCCGATCGCAAGCCCTGAATATATGCGCATTACTTAGGCACACCTCCTCTCCGGGACGTCTAACAAGCTGTTATATAATGTATACAGCTGGGCATTTGTATGTTAAATTATGCCCGCGCATTCTTCTGTATGCAGTATAAATAACACAGAAATGCAGAAGGTGCTGTCTTTTGCGGCAAGAACCTGCTTCTTTCATGGTTTATAAATAGGTTCCTGGAGAATGAATAATCGCGGTGACAGACATTTGTTTGAAGCAGTCAGATGCTATTGATTTCCATATGATTTAATTTCCTCCGCATACTTTGTTGTTGTTGTTGTTGTGACTATAAGTGTGTCAGGCACCGACAGTGACAGCCACTTAGGAGCCACAAGGAGCGTGTGCTTTCTACTAGGGAACGGCTGGTTGTTGAAATGAAGTTGTGCATTTCTCTTATTGTTTGTCTCCTTTAACCGTGTACAAACCCACATTTCAAACGAGCTCCGGATGATCTGAGGCTCCTTGTAATCAAAAGGAAAAATAGTTAACAGGGTGTAGCTGGGATCCTTACCTCTCTTCAGCGTACACACACACACACACACACACACACACACACACTTTATGTTGGAAACTCCAGGAAAAGGAAATAGCTTCAGAGAAAAGGGAATAAGATGTTGAAGAGAACTTTATTTTCCCTTCCATCGTTTTGGCTTGTTTGCCCACCACCCGCCCGCCCCCGCCCCCCAGATACAGATATACATACAGATGTATAGATGTGTATATATATACACACACATTTTTTTTTCTTCGGTAGGGAACAGAATCAAGCCAATTTATAGGAAAGCGTGATTAAAATATTAATTCAAACCAACTTAAAAGAACGGGGCCCAAGCTCTGGTCCAGCCTTTATTTATTTTTTATTATTGTGAAATCAAAACGTAAGAAGAATAAATCAATTAGCCAACCTGCTATGTGGCCCTTCTGTGGCAGGCAGATCAAGGGCCTCCCGGGGAACCATAGTTCAGGTGCCCGAGTCCCCAGGGACTCAGCCCTTGCCCGGGGTGATAACAGCCCAGATGTTATCACATCTGCAGCGAGAGAGCTGGAGAACGGCAAGGGGCTGCGTAGGGGAGGCAGAGATCAGATAAATAATCTTTCTGGTCTCTCCCACAGCAAGGAGGTCTGTATTTCCGCTAAAGATTAGATCTCATTTCTATAAACCTAAATTTACGTTCGCCTTGGATCTTTTCTTTGGATAAACGCGTGCGTATTTAGCGGACACGCTCCCTACTCAAATTCCAAGAAGAGCCCAGAGGCGTCACCACGGCTTTTTTTTCTTTTTTCTTTTTTCTTTCTGTCTTTTCTTTTCTCTCTACCTTTCCCCCTCCCCCCACCCCCTCGCAGCCCGACAGGGGAGTTAAGAAGGATGTTCACTTGCTAGTGTGAGAAGGAGCCTCGTTTCCAGCCATTACGCGGTCCCTTGGGAGTGCTAAGTGCAACTTTATCTCTACGGGGAATGGACCACGAGCAGGACATCGCTGGAGGGAGCGAATGAGTCCTACGGTAGTCGTCGCACCGGGTGTTCAGGCTTAACTTAATCCTTCCTGACACCCACCGCGGCGGTTCCCTGAGCTCGCCTGCGTTAGGGGGTCGGGGGGTCGGGGTCGGGGGAAGGAAGGGCGCCGCAGAGGATGAGCGCCTAGATCCTGTCTCCCCCTCCCCCCAGGGAAACGCTGGCTTTTAGGGACCCCAAAGAGTGCAGGGGAAACAAACGCAAATAGCACAGTTTTGGGGCCACATGGACTCAGAGACAGAGAGAGAGGTGAGCCCCCGAGTACCCGAAGCCCATCTCGGTTTACCCTCCAACACTGAGAGAGCGCCAATTAACCCAGCGGGGAGGTCCCTGGCCTGAGGTCAAGACTTCATCACCTTGTCCAGACTCCTCTCCTAGTTCACTTCTTTTAGGACAACCAGAGTCCCTGCCCAGCTTAGGGTGGGCTCAGACCTCTGCTCAGAATGTCTCACTTTCCCCCAGGGCTAGAAATAGGGCCCTGGGTACAGTCCCCATCTCATTACCCACCCCCCTCACCCCACTAATGGATTGGAAGCCCATTTAGGGCACATCTGTGTCCACCCTGGCACTTAGGAAGGGTGCCTGTCACAGACTGAAAATACCCCATAGAACAATACACGTGTGTAGGAAGGAAGAGAAGGCAGACGGCGAGGGCCGGGAGAAAAACAAAGAGAGTTCAGCAAGCCAGGACCAATGGGGAGTGGGGGGCAAGCAGGAAGATCACCGAAGGGGTCTCCTCTCTCCCTGAAAAGGAGATGCAGATTGGAACAGAAGGTGTGCTGTCCCCACGCAGAGCTGTCTATCTTGATTCCAGCCAGCAATTTTTCCAAAGTCATTTATCTCATCCTTCCCTCATTTACTTTCTACCCTACCTTGAGCACCAGTCTGGGCCAGGGCAAGACACTGGAGATAAAATGAGGTATAAAATACAGGCATCTGCCTTGGGGCGGTGGCAGTCTATGAGAGTGGGGTAGCTACAGGTGAAGGGGGTGTTTTTGTGGTACAGGTGTGACAGGTGCGATGAGAGGGAATTGTATAGAAATACCGGGTGGGGTAGGGGATGATGCTTGGAGAATTATCCTGTCACATCCCTGCTGGGCCTCAGCCCCAGGCTAGAGAGTGGGACACGGTGGTAGATCTGCCAGTACTTCCTTGGACCTTATCAAGCCTTTCCCTTCTCCCCCCAGGGCAGTGAAAGGGAAGGATGGTGGACTGGGGCTCAGTCCATCAATGTCACTGCTTTGTGTTCCGGGTTTGGCAAGTGCAGTAACTAGATGGCCCCTGCCAGAGGTAGTGATGCCCACGTGGGGTCTGAGCCTTGGCATTAGAATCCTGGGCAGGTTGGGGTTTGTTTTTTTCTTTTTTTTTTTTTTCCTTCCTGTTTAATGACCAACACAGATTCCCTCCTCACCCGATCTCATAGCTTTGCATTTTATCAAGAGGGAGATAATGAATGCACAGCTATTGATTTCCAAGGAATTTCCGCCCCCAGGGATAGGGAGTCTATCATCTGGATCAGAAACACATTTCTTTCCCTCATTAATTAATTTTCTCTTCCTTCGTTGGCAGGCCCCACTTCACATTTCCTTTCGCAGCGCCTCTTTCCCGGGCTTAGCGGGCAGACGTTGGTAGGCTGGAGTGAAGACCCGCGGGAGAGGCGCAGCGCAAGGGCGGGACCGGCTGGGGGTGACTGCTGCTCGCCTTTAAGCACCCCGCCCCCTCCACAGCTGCCACTGGCTGGGCAGCCTTTCTTCTTCCGAAGCGGCGCGGGGAAAGTTAGCTCTGGACTCAGCAGCCCCTACCTGCACGCCTCCCTCTCCCCAGCCCCACCTCTGGGCTTGAACCCGATTTATTTATCCGCATTCGGGGACGCCGGGGGGCGGGGGATGGGGGGAGCGGTGGTCCTGAGGAATGTGCACTGAAGTGAGTGGAGATTGTGCGCGTACAAGAGAAGGGGATCAGGCCTCACGTTCTTGCCCAAACGCGGGGATCTGGAACAACATGCAAACCCAGGCGGCCCAAGACGGAGCTCTGCTCCTCGCAGATGCGGGCAGCCACGTTTCCTCCCGGCTGCCGCCCAGAAACTCGGCCCGGTCACCGCGCAGCCAGCGCCCTGCGCGGTGGAAGTCGCCAGAGCCTCTAGTCGGCCGGCTTCCGAGGCCGCTTGGGTTGTTTTAAGCGGTGGGAATGAACTGGCCAGCAGAGGACTAGGAGGCCTAGAATTGGGAGGGGGGTGGGGGGGAGTGTCGGTATGCGGAAGAGGGGCGGCAGTTGGGAGGTCCGGCTCCCTTCCGCTCAGACACCCTCTGTCCGAAGGGTGGGTCAGAGGGGGGACTAGTGCCGTGCTTTCGCTTCCCCTCCTGGCGGCCTTGCCAGCGTCAAACCTGGGCAGCTTTGCTCCTGGGTCTCTCTAAGCGCTGACCCTTGCGCATTCCGTTCCCGTCCCGCGGTGTGGGCACTGGGCTCCTCGCCCGCCCAGCCCTCAAGGCAGTCCTGGGAGGTCGCCCTGCCCTGTGCCACCGCTCAGCCCGAGGCGCGAGTTCACAGCCACGCTCTCGTTGGCGAGAGCTGGGAGATTTCCCACAGGCTACTGTCCTTCCTTTCTACCCCGCTCTGCCCGCACCCGCGGCCGCTTGTCTCCCTCGGTCCCAAAGGCCGGGGTGGGTGAGTTATTGAGGCCAGTGGTGATCAGCTCCTGTGAGGCTCCCAGCTGGGACCTGCGGAGGAGGTTCTCGAGTAAGCCGCTGAAAACCCAGTGTTTTCGTTCTTCTAGCCGTTTAATTCAAATGCCACTTCCGTTGGGAACATTTTCCTGGATGTCGAGCACCCCACTCCGAGATGTCCCTGATACACACACTTGGGATCCGAATGATGCGGCAGTAAAGTTCACTGCCGGTCATTATCTCTCTTGGCGTTACATCTGTAGAGATCTAGGTGTGTGTGTGTGTGTGTATATATATATAAAGTCTCCACCCTAACCCCTCGGTGGACTTAAACCCACCTACCTTGTGAAAGCCCTAGGGATGATGTAGGACTACGTCTCCGTCCTAACAGGGGCACGGCCTCCCTCGCCCGCTAGTTGCCAGAACAAGTTTCACTGTCCAAGTGACAATGCTGGACCGCTACGCTTGGCCACGGGCCCCTGTGGTTTAGGTCCCAAGGGAAGCAGAGCTGCTCCCGCCCCGCACAGGCCCCTTCCAGAAAGGGAGAACGCGCTGGTCAGAGAAGGGGCTTCGAGGTCTCCTGGTTACGAACAACAACGAACAAACCAACTCTACAACAGACACGCCCGCCCCTGACCCCACGCGACGAGATGGAAGTTGTGTCGCCTTCCTCTCCCCGGAGAGCCGCGGGCCCGCCGCTCCCACCCGGCCACACGCGCGCGTTGGTGGGAGGCAGCTCCGCTGGCGCACAAGGACCGCAGAGGACCCCCAGGCCCCCGCGACCGCAGTTCCGGGAACCGAGAGGCGAGCGCCCGTCGCCCTCCGCAGACTCGTCTCGGCCTGCAGGAGCGGGATCCCCAGGAGGGTCCAGACGCCCCGAGGAAAGCGCGAAGCCTCGAGTCCACACGCCGAAGTGCGGAGCTGGGTCCTGTCGCCCGGCTCCGAAGCTCGCAGGCGCCGCCGCCAGCCGCCCCTCCTCCCCGCCGCCTGCACAAATCAAAGCCCCTTGCGAGGCACTGGGAAATAGTTGCCTTGTCATGTAACACATTGCCCTGATTTATTATAAAATTTTAACGAAATCATGCATATTTTAACAGCCTTTAATCACTGCATGAAAATTTAATTCATGGACTGTAGTGCGTTTAAATAAATGAAGTGTTAATTCATTAGGATTAATTAATTTGTTAAAGGATTGTGTGCAAGGTTAAGGTGGAAAGAAAACTCTTTGTTGGTTTCGCGTCTTAATCGCCAGGTTTCGCAAGTAGTAATAAAACGAAAGGAAACCGCAGAGCTGGCCCTTTCTTTGGGCGGGGCCCTGGAGAGAGCAGCTGAGAGCGCCCTCAAGAGCCCGGGAAACTCCGACCAGAGGGGCACCGGCAGATCCGTCCTCTCGGGAGAAGGGGGAGCGGCACTGGCTTCGAGAATCCGGGAAGGAGGGGTTCGCCGGAATCAGAGGAAGGAATGCGGGATCGTAGCCGAGGCAGGCGGACCAGACCTCACCTCCCCACCCCCAGCACAAAGACGACCCAGTGAGGGAAGCGAGGTCGCGCCTTCCGGTCCTCGGAGCGCCAAGCCTCGGCTTAATGGACAGATGATGGGCCAGCCCTGCCACCTCCTGAGCCTTCTAGCCTTCTGGGAATCACAGTCTCGCCAGCAGGCCGCCGGTCCTGGCGGCGAGGCTGAGCCTAGAGTCTCAGGGGATGCTCAAGAGAGGAGGCGGACCAAAGCCAAACTTGCCAGCTCAGGCTGGGGCAATCGGGAAACCTTTTCAATCAGGAGCCCTGATGTTAGGGAATGGTTCCTTCAGCACCTCTTCTGAGACATCTGATGAATAGGCAACCCCTTGCAGGAGAGCGGACACAGGCGCAGAAGAGATGTCCTCTTCCGCATCAAACTCTTATTCATGCCTAAAGACCCAATACAAATAGCACTTCCGTGAAGCAGCCTGGTTTCCTTTCTGCTCCATGCTATACCCAATACACACACTTTTCTACTCACCAGTGTTATAAGAATTAAAATGGTCCAGAACTAGGTCCTCCTTCCTCACAGAAAGTCTCAGTAAATGCCTAAGTCAAATCTTTGCCCTACGGTACTGGATGTTCACAGCCCCAAATTATATGTCACACTAGGCGCACACTTCTACACATTTGGTTAATGCAACTAACATTTATTAGAGGGGGTCTGCTCCCTGTTAAGACACAGCAGACCTAGAAATCTACCTTGATTCAAGAAATGGAGCTTCAATCGAACTTATTCTAGGCTGCCTCTGTCATGTCAAACTGAAGATCATCCAAGCCTAAGCTTCAGATGGGCTCTTAAAAGAAAGCTGCAGCTTCCTCCCTCAGAGTGGGGTTCCGAGAATTAAGCAATAAATGTTCGCTATGCACTCTGAGATCACTGCTTAAAAGGTTTTCTCTCTGCCAAGTATTATTAAAAGGATCGGGTTACATCATGATAGGCAAAGACTGTTGTAGGACTCCCACGAATAGGAATGAAAGACCTTCTTATGAGGCCTTGGGAAACCCTTCTAGATAGGCCACACTCCATGAAACTAAACTGTTCTCTACAAATATCATTCACAGGTACAAAAGTGAGGGGGGAAAAAGTCTAGTGCATGTATTACACTTTGAATTGAAAACCACTCAAGTATATAGAAACAGGTTCCTGAAACATCTTAAGAATCAAGACTGAAGCTCTTCCCTTGTTCAGTGGTACCTTCAGAGGTTTCAAACCAGAGTAAATACAAACGAACTTATAAGAAAACAGAGCAGATTTGAAATTAAGGGACTACATATCTTCAAGTCTGACATTTTCAGTTTAAGTCTCAGTTGATCCATCAGAACAGGAAAAAGACTTGTCACTTTGGATGGGATGAAGATTTTAAAAATTAAAAGATAAACACTAAAGGTCATGTCAAAATAATATCTAACATCATGTCACATTCTCTTAGCCATAGCATTTTAAAAAGATGAGCAGTCAAAAGATACTGTTTTTATAAAGACATGAACTGATGTGTCTTTTCCCTTTATCACTAGCACATCTTTTTCTAACATAGCCTTAGTGCTATTTTGAAATTCATCTAAATGTCAGAGTTAATGTGAATCTTTATAAACTTAAAAGTGGCACACACACGACTCCCATCACTGAGCTTCCACTTAGTAGTAGACTCAGATTGAGGACGCAGTCAGGAATTAAATGCTACTTGAAAAGAAACATGCTAATACTTCCAAAATACTACTTTAAAAAGAATCCTTGGAAACTTCAAACCCATTCATCCTTTGGCCTATAAATGTGAACTCCCATGCATCCCATGCATGAGGGAGGAAGAGTACAAGGTCTGGAGTCAGAGGCCCAGCTCCGAGACAGGGTTCTAATCCCATTCTAGCTGTGTGACAACTAATTCTCAACTCACTTATTTGTAAACTGGGGAAAATTAATTCTTGGCTCACAGAGTTTGAAAAGAAGATTACATGAGATACAGGTTAGCAAAGTACTTGGTTTCAAAAAAAAGTATTTGTCTTGCTTTAGGGTGTGTATATATAATAGATATATTTTAAAATGAGACCACCATATTTGTCATGACATTTCAGATTATGGTAAAGAGATTAGGAGTACAAATGAGAATGTGTCATTAAAATCAGATCCTGCACAGATTATTTCCTTCAACTGAGGAATGGCAGTTTTTTTTAATTTAATATAATATATGAAATATTGTTTTGGAGAGAATGGAGCAGTGTTTCTGAAGCAGCTAGGAAATACTCTAACCCAATAGAGACACCCTCACCCGGTTAGGCACTAGTAAATCAGGTTACACACTCTGCATTTCCATGGCACAGTGTCAGTTTGTATTAAAACCTAACACACTCATGGTTAAAAAAAAAGAGTTACAGACAAACTTAGAGTGAGGTTTACCCCCAAATTTACTCTATTCAGAAATATGTTAGATTTCTACATTTAATAGAATTTCAAATGCATATCCACATTGTCAAAGATATTTAAACTGCAATATCTCTGAGAGTATCCATTAGCTTAAACATTATCAGAAAGACAAAGTAATACATAAATACTTATTGGAAAAAATATGATAGAACAAAAATTATGCTTTATATTAAGCCGTTTTGGGGGGAGGAGGCTCTTATTACTTCTAAAAGTAGAGGTCATGATCCTCCAAATCATAAAAGTGACTTTTTATACTTTTATGGTTTTGTTGAATCCTGAGTCTCTTATAACAGAGGTCAGCAAATTTTTCTGTAAAAGGCCAAACAGTAAATATTTTAGGCTTTGTGGGCCATATGGTCTCTGTTAAGACTATTCAACTCTGCCGTTTCAGTGCAAAAGCAGTCCTAGATAAAATGTAAACAAGTAAGTGCAGCCGTGTTCTAATAAGACTTTATTTAAAAGCACTGAAATTTGAATTTCATATCATTTTCCTGTGTTGTGAAATATTCTTTGGATTTTTAAAAGCCATTAAAAATCTATAAACCATTTTTGGTTTACAGGCCTTTTACAAAAACAGGTACAGGCCAGAATTTGGACCACAGGCCATGGTCCACCAACCCCTATATTAAAAGATCAATAAAAAATGGTAAGTTTTACTGGTCTTTATAGGCTAATTCAACATGAGCCAACATCAAGGATTACAGTGCTTCTGACATCCTTTATTCAATTCACATAGAAAAGCATGCAGTATTACTGTAAAACAGTACAGTATTAATGTAAAATGTTCAGTGCACATTAGATAAACAAGTCATTAACATACAAACCATTTTTAAAGGCCTATATGGGCATACCAAACATGTTTAGAATAATATACCTTTTCAGAATCTAAATTAAAAATTGTGCTTAGCTCACCTATTCTCACCCCCTTTACACTCTTCATGAAAAAGTTTTTTGGGGCCTACATAACAGATAATCTTTCAGCCAACTGAAACTTCTTTTTCTTAAGTAAGGAAAACAGTGCAAGCAAGAATGCTACCATGCATACAGTTTCCATGAAGAACAGCAACATGCAAACAAGAACTTTACCACTCCAAAGAAAGTTCCCCTGGGACATAAGTGGATCAAGAACTTGGCAATGAGTGCTCCTGTACCTGTATATCTGAAACGATGAAGCTACCATGTTTAGGCTCTTCCAAACACAACTGTTCCATGACTTCTTGCTAAAGTAGGCTCAATTTCTGATTTTCAACACACACAAAAAGATGAGTGAATGAAAGCTACCTGACATAAAACAAGTATTTTCATATAGAAAATGTATTCTTTCATACTAGCAACACATTTTCACAAAAACTGGACAGAACCCAATGTTAAAAATGCAAACATATACATAAAACTTAAAAAAAAAAGTAGATGAGTATTGGACTAAGGTTCGAGTGCTATTTCTCCATCATGGCCTTGAAAAAAAGTTAGGCTATCACTAAACATAAATAAAAAGGGGCAGGCAAAATAATTTCCACCCTAGGAAAAGCTTTAAAGAAACTCAAGTGTCTTATGAGCAGTATGTGGACAACACCGAAAGTTTTATTTAAAAATTCCAAGTTCTGAAGATAACTGAGGCTTACTAATAGGCCATTGTACCTCAATAGTTAAATCAAGACTCAAGAAAACAAAATATACCCAAACCAGATACGTATAATATTCATTAAAAAGAAACTCTCACCCTACCTTTTCTGGTCAAAAAGATCCCCAAATGAAAATGAAAAATACTAAAACTCTTCAAAGTGAACAAAAGTATCCTGGGTACAGGCTAATCCACCATTCTGACTTGACACCTGACGAAAGATTATCAATTCAAAATGGTATAGAGCTTTTATGAGGGGAAAAAACTAACTTTGAAATCTTATATTCCTCTCAGGACAAAAACATAAATGACACCTTTCTAATTAGTCAACTTTTAGTTGCTTTTGATGGGCTGGCATTGGAAAGGCTGCTCTGGATTTTTCTTTTTGTTGACTGATTCACATTTTTATTCCTCTTTTCGGGCACAAAGGAAGCAGACCAGGGAGACTGAAGGTGGTTATGAAGACCATGCATCTCTGAGGACATCTTAAACAAAGATGACCCAAACCTTTGATCTTCAAATAGCCTGTGTGAACTGCTTAACAAAACATTCTGGGAAAACTCAGTCTGAAACAAACAGCTTGGGGGTTTGATTTCATTGGTTCCTGGGTTAGAACTGGGATGGAGTGAAAAATCTTCATTCATTTCCTGGTCAGATGGAGAGAGGAGAAAAAAAGAATTGGGTTTCCATTCATTTCCATTTTCTAACTGATCAGTAGTTAGAGAACCTTTAGAAAGGTTTGGTTTAGTTCTTTCTTCCAGCTTATCTGGTTCCTCAAGGAATTCACTGCCTTGAGATGACTTTGCTAAGCCATCCAAATCCAATGACTTAAAACCGTTATTACAAGGGCTCTTGCTGTTGTCTGACTCTGACATCATTGAATCCAACTCCGAGATTTTGTCAAGGTAAGCCGCATCCATTGATGCTTCGCTGGATGTTCTTGTCCGATTCATTTCAAAGGAGCGGAGAGAATTCAATCTCTTGGATAAACATGAGCCTGATTTCTCACTCAATTTTGAAGAAATTTCTCCAACACAATTTGCTATCGTGTTCTCTTCTGAGCTTTCAAAATCCAAGCTGGGGTCATAGCTCGTGGAACAACAATCCCAAAACCCTGTCTTTGGGGAAGTAAAACATTCTGATTTCTTCTCACTTTCACTTCTATCATCTTCTGAAGAATCTTTATTACAAACATTCGGAGAATCACAAAAATCATCAAACACCAGTTTTCTGAGATGGTTTGAGTGCTTTCTGGAACCTCCCGCTTTGACCACAGAGCTCTCTCTATTTTCTGGCGTATTGAGCTGAAGGCAACTAAGGGACAAAGGAGTACAGGGAGCTGGAAGATCATAGAGTTCTTCATCTTTGTAGGATACACAATCACTTGGCTTATTACCCCATTCTCTTTCCAAATAAGTATCCATACTTGTATCTGTCACATCTAACATTATTTCCACCCGTTTGTGATATAAGTCTTTGTTCTTAGAACAATTTGGTTCTGTTTTGCTGGTGCTTTCCTGTCTGACAGAACTGCTAGAAGGTTTTGCCAGGTGTGAATTCAAGGTTGATGAGCCAAGCTGCTTTCTGGCACCATCACCTTGATTCTTGGATGCCATATCCTCCTCAGTGCCTTTGCTCCCCTTGCCATCTGTAGAAAGTGCTCTCTGGCAAATGGAATTCATAGCTTCCTTCTCATCACTTGAATTTTTTAGCTGTGTAATTTGAGATTCTAGTTCCTCTATATATTTATCACTTCGTTCCAGGGCTTTCTTGAGGCGATTGGTTTCACGTTCATACTGTTCTACTTTGGACTGAAGAGCAGCTACTGTAAACCTTCCAAACCTACAAAGAATGGAAGGATCGTTAACCTTATAGTTCAAGATTTTTTCTTTCCTTTTCGAAGTTTAAGAGTGCAAATTGTCTCCACCCATTCTAATTTCACATAACAGTGACACTTCAGACCACTCAATGAACAGGATAAGAGCAATGACAGATGTAGTACCTTCAAAAGAGGGTTTCCCCATTTATGTACTAATAAGCATATGATAATAATGGCAAAGGCCTAATAGGATACTTCTGTGGTCAAATCATACTAGTAGTAGCAGTGAGGCAGAAACTCACTGATAATTTCCCTCCTAAGAGCTGGCACTATCAATTCAGCTCATATATGCATGAAGAGTTATATCCTAAAACAATGACAAAGATTTATGATAACATTTGAACAGTGGTCCACATCTTGAAATATTTACATTCAATCATTTTCCTATAGTACAGCACTGTTTTACAATACATTCCTTATACAATGTCACCTTGTCAAACATAAAATGCCAATTTGAAATTCAGAAATCTTAGCAGTTCCAGCAGGAGTGGGTTTAAATACTTATTTGGATCCTTTCAATTATAGCTACCCTTGATCTGAGGTTTTTACTTGGCCTTTCTGAATACTGGGCTTTAATTCATTTCAGCTCTACTTATTTTTGGCATTTCACGACTGTGTGGGACATCAATTTCATTTCTTCCAACTTTGAGGTACAAAGTCAATGCTTGTGCTTCCAATGTATTACACATAAAAACATTTTCACATTTTCTGAAAAGGAACATTTTGAAGAATAAATGAAAAAGAACACAACAAAAAAATCACTCCTCTCACTTGGGATTACCTTGTTTCCACTATTCCCTTAAGAATGGGTACTGGGGTTCAGCTAAGAAAACAAGTTTTGAGCACCTAGTATGGCTCATGGTATATTTGGAGCTGACGATAAAAGGATCAATAAGACTGTCCCAGCTCCAAGGGACATAAAGTATCTATCTTAAATTCTATCTGATCTGACTACCAAAGGAAATTTCATCTTTCAGGAAACTGCTTCTTATGAGTCAGTAAACATAAGTCTTACATTCTAACCCCATGAAAAATAACTTCTCTCCACAAAAGTTCTTTTAAAAAGCTTTTTCTTAATCATCTTTTTGATGACGTAAATATAGGCCCATCTTGAAGAATTCAGGGATTGTCTGTTTTGAGCAAGGTACTTGAGAAGGTGACTTCTACAAATTGTTTTAATCTATGGGTTTATCTTTTTCTTTCTTTTTTCCCTAATTACAAAAGAATAATTACAATTAAGAAAATGTACTAAGTATTAAAAAATTAAAACGGAGAAGAAGCCAACAGTAACTGTACCTCTTTGTGTCAACAACTATATGTTGTATGACTCTCATTCAACACCCATCACCTCCTCCTAAACTGTAGCCCAGTTCACTCTCCAGCTCCTCCCCTACATGATCCCTGCTCTTGTCACTAAGGGAAAAAAGCAGGGACAAAGGTAAATATAGATTCATAAAATCTCAGGGTTAGAAAGGACCTTAAAAGACATGTTGCCAAATACTGACCTACTCACTGCAATTAACTGATCTCCCAGAAAGAGCACACTCCCATCAACCTCTAAAAATCAAAGCAAACACCAGAGGTATAACAAAAACAAAAGCAACTTCAGTAACAAGCCTCCTTGGTTTTTTTTGTTGTTTTTTTTTCTGCGGTACACAGGCCTCTCACTGTTGTGGCCTCTCCCGTGGCGGAGCACAGGCTCCGGACGCGCAGGCTCAGCGGCCATGGCTCACAGGCCCAGCCGCTCCGCGGCATGTGGGATCTTCGCGGACCGGGGCACAAACCCGTGTCCCATGCGTCGGCAGGCGGACTCTCAACCACTGCGCCACCAGGGAAGCCCACAAGCCTCCTTGTTTTAAAGACAAAGTTTACTACTATGAGTATTTGGTTAAATGAACGATGGGAGTTTTTCCTTTTTCACCAAAGAAAAATGTTTTGTTTTGTAAATGTAGTATTTGACAGAGTGGTAGTTTCTGCAAGAGAATTTTAAAAGGTGGACAAAGATCTTTAAGTTCATTCAGCAAAAATATCTGTGAGTTCTTGCGACTTCCCTGGCTGTCCAGTGGTTAAGACTCCCCACTTCCAATGCAGGGGGTTCGGGTTCAGTCCCTGGTCAGGGAACTAAGACCCCACATACTGTGCAGTGTGGTCAAAAAGTTAAGAAAAGTAAAAAATAAATATTTGTGGGTTCTTGACTGTAACTACTCTGGCATAATCAAACAACCCACATATTTTTAAATGGAAAAACTATGTAGCATGTTTATTTAATGCAAACAGCAAAAGTGACAGCCTTAAATTTGCTTGCCAAGACAAAATTTGCTTTTTCTTAAGTGCAATTTTTATAATAAAACTATCCTCAGATGAAAAATAAAATCAAATGGTTTAAAAGCAAATAATGTTACTAGATAGTAAGTCAGCTGTTACCAAAGGATGTCCTTGGGAACTCAAAGGCCTACATAAGAAGTAGTGACAAATAAGGAATGTTTCCCCAAATATTAGCAGCTTCTTATTCTAGATTTTAGTCTGGAATTTCAGACATAATGTCATTTTATGATGCTATATTTGCCCCTAATTTTTTTATTATTATGTTTTTAAAAGAAGTTAGTTAACAAATGTTCTGAGCTGAATTCAAAATGATAGCCTAAGTATATTTTTTGTATTACTTCAGAGAGAAAGCTGAAGTGCCATGAGAACTAACAACAAAGGCCAGCAACTAAGCACATATGAGAGGGACAAGCAAGGAGGAGTCACTGATGGAGCCGGCTGTTTTCTAAAAGGTCAATGCCCTCAATTCCCCTAAGTTCTATTTCAATACTCTGCAAGTCTATAACACTTCAAATATTCAGACCTTTTTACCATTCTAATAAGGGAACTGTGCTGGTGGGCAAACTAAAAGAAATATATAGTGAAACCCAATGAACTGATCAATTTATTTATCAGTCCATGTAGCTTATCTGTTTTCTGTCTCTCTCTTCACCATTAGAGTATAAGCTCCAGGAAAGCAGGAATTATGGCTAGCTCCCTAGAACAATTCACAGTACACAGTAGTTTCTCATTAAATATGTTTTGAATAGATGTTATTTTCTTACTTTAAGATACATCAATGCCTTACATCAAGACAGAGCCAACACCACAGGATAATCCAAAGGTCCTTGGGTCTCTTTCACACGTAAGCATTATGAGTCACTATATTACTAAACTAAATGTTTCATACGTTTGACTGCTTATTTTCTTTTTTTCATTGACACCAGAGAAAGCAACAGAGAATGACATACATACACAGTATAGTTCTTTTTATTGTACAGGCTTGCTGTTCTACACTCTACTCCATCCAAAAACACTTTCCACTTTCACCTTAGCAAGAGAATGCAAACAGATGAGACTTCTGACATATTTTTAGCTTACCCTAGATACCAATATTAAATTTGGCAAGAGACAATTTACTTGATCATATAGAAATAACAATTAGAGATGCACACCTGATGCTATACTTCCATGGATGAAAACAATGAGGATAAGAGCTTATTTAACTTTGGGTATTAATACTCTCTTATTCACACTAATTCCAGATATTTCCAGACTACATAACATTAAGAAGGCAAGCCAGAGGGATTTCTAATATCATTTACCATACTTCCTTTGCCTGCGCAAATTTCAAAATGGAGTATTTTTATAAACATTCCATTAGAGACCAGAAGGCTTTGATTTTCAAAGCAGCAGTGATGGCCAAGGGCTTCATTATGTCAGAGAAAACATAAAGCAGTTTGGGGGCTGCATCTGATATCAGAAGTGTGTTTTGCTAAAATCTAAGGAGAAGCTTAAAGGATTCTTCATCTTGCAACGTTAACTGATGTACACGTTCTGGCTGAGAGCTCCCCTGTTCAAAAAGCTACATAAGTACAAGACTGGTCCTGTCCCTACTAGAAGTAAGAGAAATGAAAAGTCCTATTGGTTTGACCTCTGAGGTATTATAACTAGAGTAAGGGCATCTCTAATAATGAAAAGTTCCCAAGACCACATTTTCTCATAGCTCATCACACAGGAGGAACAGGACGTGTTTGAAGGGTGTCAGAAGAAAGCCAATGTGATAAAAGAATAAATGCCAGAACCAAGTGTCAAAAGAATTAACCTCTAGTGCTATGCAGCCATTAACTAGCTGTGAAACTTGAGTAATTTACTTTGCCCCTCTAGTTCTCAATGGCAGCCCCAACAAAAGGGATTAATGCAGCAAAGCCCAGTGGGTTGCTGAGACACTGAACTTCAGAAACATCTTCTTGAGGAACAAGAGGGGTTCTGGGGAAGTGAGCCCCTCTGCCTTCCATGTACCTTTGATTTTATATATTCTTCTTACTTACTACCTGAGGTAAGAGTGAAACAAAGTGAAAGCAATCTTTGGATATGGACCAGCTTTTGTGATCCAGCCTGATAGGTCTTCAATATCGAGGTCCTTGATGGTTTCGATATGCACAAATTTCAGTTACCACAGTTTAGTTAAATACCACCAGTCACTGAACAACATGGTTCAAATTTACCACATTATATTAACTGTGAGTAGCTGCATAAAGTAAAACTTCACTGCCAGCTTTTCAGTTCACAAAACACTATATAAACAACAGACCGTGCATCGTGAACAGTGACCAATCAGGTCACTTCTCTCAAAGTCTGAAAGCGACTGTGCACCTGTTATTCACTTCATACACAGACAATAAAACATATAGTTGTGCTGTCACATGACATTTACAAAAATGGATAATCAAAAGACAGCACTAGGCAACAAAGATGAGGTTTGGCAAAGAAATGGAAAAGTGATTAATGCCAGTAGTAAAGTTAGAATCAAATGTAAGTGTAGAGAAGAATAGCTGACTGTGGGAATGTTGAAACTGTCACTATTTGAGAGATCCTAGGTAAGCCAGAGGAACTTGGGAAAGGCTAACTTGTTGACATAAATGAAAGAAGTGGCTGT